CTCAAAATCTGTTTTGTATATCTTCGTAATGTAGGAAAAATATTCAAAATTTTCATAATATTCTGAATTTTAAACCAGTTTCTAGACTTTTTAAAAAAAATCCAAACACTTAAATATTTGAAATTGGAAAATTATTTTTCTTCCCCAAAGGATTATATAAGAAAAACTACCCCTGGTATCTTGCAGAAATGCCTGGTAAGGTACTTCAATTTTTTGTGAGTAAACATGTTTAAGTAGCAACACTTCAATGACAAACTCTTAGAAAAATTTATCTATTATTAATGAACGTCTCGTCTGTCCTTAAAACCAGATTCTACTTCAACGAGTAACACCCCATTGTCTAGGAAGTACAAAAACATACTAGTAAGTCTATTCGGAAAAGGACAATGACCAAACTTGATGCTTGTGAAACAAAATTCTGTCAACTACTGGTACATCCAGGGGTACAAATATAAACAAAGGCACACTTTTTAGGTACAACCTAGTAAATATCAGATACTTTCTGCAACTTTTAATAGTGGCTAGTGCGTTGGAGTTAGGGTTAAGAAACTGTTCATTACTATTAAGATTTTTTTTTTCTTTTCTTTCTTTTTTTTTTATTTGCTTCTTGTAGTGGAGAGGGTTGAAACTTCTTGCGGCAGTGAACTTATGGATTTATATTTCTAAAATGGAATACACTTTTCGTTTAAAGTAATCATTTTGCAAGTTCTGTGGTCGATACTATGACCTTGTCAGCAAACACAATTTATCATTGAGTCAAATGCTGACTGACGTTTTTCATACTTGTTGTTAGTCCATTATTTATACACTGAATTGACGTCGGATTTTCCCGTTATTTCCCGATCATGACAAGGAGCACACGGCGGGTGTGACCGGTCGTCAGGGGATGCTCACTCCTCCATGGCACCTGATCTCACCTCTGATGTTTTGAAGGTCCCTGTTTGCTCTGCTCCTGTTTTGTTTTGTTTTATGGACTTTTCATCTTGAATACTGTTCGTTATCTCCATATGTTTCATTGAAGACAAGAAAAAGGAGGCTACGAACTATATATATACTAATATCTATGAAATTTATATTGGATGTCACAAAACAAAATTGAGCTTGAAGAATTGCAAGGTTTTGAGAGGTTTTTTTTTTTTTTTTTTTTTTTTTTTTTTAAAGAAAGAATATACCTGGTAGCAGAACTTTAAACAGATACATGTATATATATAATATACACTATATTATTACATTTGAAAAAATAGACAGTTGGGTCAGAATTTGCTTTTACATAAGACTTTTAAACAACTCTCAGACTTTGTATTTGATAACAAACAAATTAGCATTTTGGACACTTACTTAGCATCGTTGGAACAATAAGCACCAGGAAAGAATCTTGTTCTAATTCTTTTATTATCTCTATCATAAATATTCCTATACATTAACAAATTTTGATGAAATTAGTCTCTCTGTTTGGCTATTTTGTATATCAGAAGATGATTTCAACTGTTTTTTACTTTCAGCAGATCTATTATGATTGACGCCTGTAAATAATACAATAGATAAACGAGTAAAATGAATATCATTTATTATTCTTATGGCATAACAGGTCGTCGCAATGTTTTCGGGACCATCGGAGAGCCTCCCTTGCGTAACATTTTAAAAAGTACATGTACTTGACGATCCCAAAAGGTACACTGGGTTATTCTCAAGTAGACAGAGTCATCAATACAGGCAAAGTTATCAAGTTTTTAATCGATGATCGATCGTTGATTTACTGATTGTATATTGTTTAACGCTCCTTCTCGAGAATTTTTCACTCACGACACCACTTGCCGGTAAAGAGCTGCAAATTTTGACCTACACTCGGCACTCAGGGCCATTGAGCAGTGAGGGATCTTTTTGCTGTCAGCACCTACTGCGACATGAAAACTCGGTTTATACGGTCTCATCCGAAGGACCGGTCTCCACGTCCCACAGTAGGATTCGAACTGCGACTTACGGATCAATTCCTTACCTCGCGACTCCAGAGCAGACGCTCTAACCACTGCGCCACGTGGGAGACACCAACTTTATGAAATAAATATTCAGAACTACCCAAGCTGGTACCTCTAATGGATATCATTTAAAATATTAACCATTCAATGTTTGATCTCATTCGTCAACAGATTCATTAAAACACTTTTAAAACGATGGCCGATTGATTTAACAGCCAACCTCTGAATACACATGAATATATCACTAAAATCGAATATTTTTTTTTTTTGCTTTACAAAATTATGTACAATGTAACATAAAAATGATTTCTTGACTATTTTCAAGAGTTTTATAATCATTCTTTTAAAATCATTCATTTTTATTAACATCTCCATTCATATCTGGAACACAGACATACGAATTAACAGGATTTGGCAGTACAATGACCAAAATTGTCGATAAAAGTACACTTGTTAAAACATATTCAAAGCATTTTATGAATTAAACTAATTGTTTATTGTACTCATGCCAACAAAATTCGAAACCAACTTACAACTGGGAACATTTTTTTCTCGAGTATAAGAGTGGAAAAATTTTCAAAATAGATAAATTGTAAAATCTTACTGACACGATAACTTTTAGTTGGTCTAGAAAATGAAATGAAAGTTTAGACAAAGAATAGAATTTAAAAAATAAAGCTTTAAATGCACGAGTTCAAATTCGGTGTGTTAATGAATTCGTCAAATGAAATTTAAGACTTCCTTATGTTAATTATTTGCAATGACTGTCTAAGGAATCAGGCGAGGAACTCATCAGTTAAATTTAATTGTCATTTGTAAATCAATAACAGTATATGAATGAGTCGTAACGTTTCTATATAATGTCATGCACATGCAATGGCACATCGGACTAAGGGAGGAACAAAATGAGTCCATACAAACAAATAAAATACACTCAGATATGATATTAAAAATAATTCAATTAAACTCATGTTATCGATACATTTACTAGTCTAAAAATAATTTCTCTTTTTCATTGCTATAAAAAGAATTCAGTTAAATTATTAAAGCATATGAAAAGTTTGTGAGCTTTGCTACAACATTTCGATATAACAACAGCACTAAATCAAGCAAAAACATTCAAATTAACATTAAGTTGTTTCTTTATTTTCCTGTTAACTACAAATAAAAGATGCTACAGTGTCTAACACATATGTTTCATACATGTATGCGGTTGTTTTAATAAAGACATTGACTAAAACTGAAAACTAACAGAAAGCTAACGGAAACTGAAAACTAACTTGTCATATACATTATAACTTCATATTCTTTTATTAACTAATATATTTTCATAATTTCAAAAAATTTCATAATCTATATATTAAATATATACCTGATGTTCCAAAAATTATTTCTTTTTTAAATTATCCCCTTGCATTCGTCTTTGGCGTTGTCTAATTATAAAAAGAAAGCATAGAAATATGGATATCTAGCTATAGAAAAAGGTGTGACAAGGATGGCTAGCCCATAGCTGTTTTGGTATCATACAAGATAAAAATCTTAAATAGCTAAAAGTATGAAGCATCTTTTACTCGTATCAAAAACGTTAAGGCAGCCATGATTGTATATGGTATAGTATTTAACAAAGTATCGTAAAAAAATATTTCATAAATTTGTAATCATTTACTTTTTGTTGCATTATCTGAATATTATATTATTGGTGACCAAATGTTTTATTGAAAGATCTTGAATACTGTTCATCATCTCCATATATTTCATCTAATACACTTACACATGTAATCATGTACATGGCACTAATTTCTTCTAAATGTGATTGTTCACGATATTAGCGTCACAATTATGATTGATAAACGAAGTGAATTCATAAAAAACCTTCCAATTTTTTTTTAGAAAATAATATTAGCATGACTATATGGAATGAATGTCCTCATCCATTATATTTTAGCTTATTTCTATCAATGACATTTTATTTTATCTTTTAGAATATAAGAAAATATTTTAAAACAAGAAAAGAATTTTTCAGCATCGATAAAATTTATGGCTTCACTCTGTAGGAAAAAAATCTCTATTTTTTATCAATTGATTTGTATGGCAACAGCTCTCTTTGAAATATAAGAATACAATTTGTGTTTCTATATAAAAAATTAAAATTACGAAAAAGAACAGAAAATGTACCTCTTCATTCATTTTTAACTTTCTCACATTGATAAGGAATATAGCCTATTTTTGAATTGCATAAGCAAATTACATTATACATTTTCTACGCCTTTTTTGCCATATCCAGATAGAAGGGGGCATAATTCATAGAAATCATCAATTTACATTCAAAATATATCACTGAAAGGGGGGGGGGCTTCATAAAGGTTTGGAAATGAACAATGGTTGTGACAAACAAAATATATATACAGTATACACTCTATAAAACAAATCCGTAAACAGGGCAAAAACACCGACTCCCAGAAAGTTACTGTTAGCCGGTTACATTTTCGTGATCTCTTATACTATAGTACAAAATAATTAGTATAAAACTAATACCTTACAATTGGTATTATACAGATATAGACCAATTGATAGATTTTTATTGCCTATCATGCCCTATAACGACGATTGAATTTTTTAAATGAAAGAGTCAAACAACTGTATTGACATCCCTGGAACATAAACTTATCTGTCAATAGCCCACATTCTTTCATTATTACATACATATTCAGTTGAGGATAAAAAAAGCTGAAGTAATCTCATTTATCATACAATTTGGTTCATAATTTGCCCTTGTTATTTGTAGTAACTAAACCCTCCAAATAAAAAAAAAACAGATGCTGCAGACTACGTTTATTTCATGTTTGAATCGACATGTTATTGGGAATCAATGTTGATATCTGATATAAAAAACAATCTAATGAACCTTTTTCCTTGAATGACATTTAATTAAAACTATATTAAAGGCACAAGGGCAGAGATACTACGTGCCGTCATACTTGGGCAGAGTTTACTAATTGGAATTGGTTGAGGTATTTGGACCAGTTACAGGGGAGGCGAACAACTTATAATTTGAAGATTTTTTTTTGTTCAAAGAAAAATAGGGATGCAGTTACATGAAAAGAAGAGAAGAACTGTCATTAGTGAAACAAAACTTGGTGGACTTTATCCTTCTATCTCTATATACATAAATTATTTCAGCTTTATAAGGTTTACTTATTTGTATATTGTAAAACTGAAGATCAACGCTGAGGTTTAAAAATTGATTTTAATGTAATGCATATGAAAAAATAAGATTTTTTTTATTTTATAAAATGGATGATATCTTTGAGATAATTAAACTTGTCGTGACTTCTTATGTATAGGCATTCCCTGATGACAAAACCAAGATAACCTCCCATTCTGAAACAAAAAAGCAGTATTTTATTCAATCTTTTAAAATTAAAATCTTGATAATAATGTTTTTTTTTTCTTTTTCATTAGAAAATCGTTTATCAAAATGTGTTTTATACCTACCCGTCTGGAACTGGTTGACTTCCGGTAACTAAATATCCGGTCCCAAACGGTGATACAAAGTTTTGTTCCGTTCGAAACCATCTCCCACATTCTTTGTCATTGTAGGAAATTCCAAACACTATGAAAATAAAGGAGACGCAATAACATTTGTATTTAATCACTAGAAAGAGAAATACAAGTAATTGAAATGATGGAAAGTCACAAATGTATATTACAGGGTTACTACATATGATTCTATAACTTGTGGTCCTATACTTAATTCAACAATTTCATCTTTTTTGCGGAAAACAGTTTGCATAAATTGAACATATTGCATCTACCCATTTCAGACGTGTTTGAGATTCGAATCCTGAACAGTTTTTACAGTGACATCATAGCTTTTTTATGTCGTTTTTTTACATTATAAGTACAGATATAATTCAAGGGGGGGGGGGGTAGAAAAAATATAGTTCGGATCCAGATTTACTTTACCATACTTTTTTTTTGTGATACTTGCATATATAAGCAACACGAAAACTTGGGAATAAGATACTTTTTTTATCTAAAATAGTCTTGATTTTAAATTGTATCCAGAAAAACAAAGTCAAATAAAAACATAACGACGTAATTACATTCTTGCTGTGTGGATATAGTCAAACCAATTTTTTGTTTTATTTTGATTTTTTTTCACAATTTAGTACTGCAAATGTCTGAATGAAATTTTAAGGCAAAAGTCTAAAAGATGAACTTACTACTGTATGAAAATTTGGTTGACAATTTTGACAAGTAGTGGTGAAATAACTTTTGGATCAATCCTCGTACAGGTATTCATCACTAAATAAGACGTTTTTACAGGTACTAACCTGAACAACATATGAGCCGTCTCAGTCCTCCTTCAAAGTTGAGTCCATTGAGGTAGCTTTTCTGTGGACACACAAACGCTTCACGTGCACCAGCGTCTTAAACAATTGTTAAGATTAAATTAAACATGAATATTTATTAATTTAAAGAAAAGACAGAGGTACATGTATTCTTTAAGTTAAAAAAATTGTACCTTCATATCCAATTTTCACAAAATAAATATATATTTTACAATATACAACATATCAATAGAATCTCTTCGTGTTTTTTTATATATAAGACTCTTACTACATTTCGAGTATTTTTAACCTCACATGTACATGAATGTGAAAACATTGAGAATAAAAGACCGAAAGTGTATAGTTAGTATTTGTTTCGTTACAATCAAAAAGTAGTTCCTCGGCATTTATAGTAGAAATAAATATTACTGCTTCATCATGCCAAGATCATTGTCTTTATATAAAGCAGTGTATGTATTCTTCATATAAAATTTCGGTTTGACTTACTGAAAACTGCACATTGTTTTACCGTTCCTGGCGGAGGAAGACATAATGAACCAAAAAATCTAGTTGGATCACCTCCTCTGAAGACAAGTGCTCCGTTATCCGAACAGTTTACATTTGAAACTTGAGCAGAAGTGGGTTCTGTGATTTCTACAATTTATTAAGTCTTGGTAAGTGGGAGAGTGAATAAGCAAACAAAGTAAAATTAAATAATAAAAGCACACATTTTGATACCCGTTCTTGACATTAATCCGTCTCCTATTCAATAAAATATTGGTCCACCGGATTCAATTCCTGATGAGATACATAAAAAAACTAAATATACACTTATGTTCCTGAATACTACGTAAGGCATTTTTTTGTCCCGTAAATGGTGTGTACTTTATTTTTAATGAATAAATATAACAATGGAATCCTGTTAATTCACGATGTTGTATTTAGAGTTATGAGAACTGCTTTTGTCAATCACGAAAATTACATAATATGTAACTCGGTATGTTTCAGAACATTCTATAGGACTGAATTTATGTTTTCTTGCAAAATAACTCTAAACAACTAAATTATTGACATAAAATTTCTTAATTATTCTTAAAATGACTTTATAGATTATTTCTTACCTTGAACAACATCCCCAAGCTTTATTCGTACTGCATTCACCGTCAAACATCCCAGCAAGCAAAGAAATACATTGATTATCATGTTCTTTTTGAAAAGAAAATGAGCTCCACATGCGTTTTATAGATATACCTCTGACATTGACTTCAGAAGTTAAATAAATATGGTTATTGTACATTTTGATTTATTTAGACTAATTAAATTTCTATAATTTGAATTTTTATAAGGAGAATATGTAAAATAAATCTTTAAAAATGTCAATTCTTACTCGTTTATCTTTTGACAGGAAATAATAAATATCTCACGTTAAATATTTTTTCTATGAACCCTTCCTTTCTGGTTTTTGTATTTTTTTTTTTTTGTTTTAAATTAGCATAAATCTAGTTTTTTTTAAGAGAGAGAGAGAGAGAGAGATGTTGCATTTCATCATTGTTCTTATTGTTTTGTGATGATTTTTATTATAAACAAATTTAAAGGCAACTTTCTTGACAACGTCGGCGCTTATGCAAGAAGGATATGGAGATAACGAACAGTATTCAATCTCAACGTCCATTAAACAATATACAAAATAAGAGCAGAGCAAACACGGACCTCCGAAACATCAAAGGTGGGATCAGGTGCCAAGGAGGAGTGAGCATCCCCTGCCGACCGGTCACACCCGCCGTGTGCTCGTTGTCATGATCAGGAAATAACGGAAAAAATCCGTAGTCAATTCAATGTATAAATAATGGACTAACAATTGGTATGAAAAACGTCAGTCAGCATTTGACTCAATGATAAATTGTATTTGCTGACAAGGTCATTGTATCGACCACTGAATTTACGAAATGATGACTTTAAACGAGACTGTTGATATTCTTGTTTCATCAACTTGCTTGTCAATAATTTACCTCGTTTAAGAAATGGTTCATACGTAGAGCATGCTCTTGCGTATCGAATCAACTGATATATATATACTCCGTATGCAGGTGATGAAGGTATATTGCTGCATAAGTAAGAGAATTTGACGATAGAAAAGTTAAAGTCATCACGTTTATCATATAGCTTGGTTGTTAGATTACCATTAGTGTCTTTTTCAAGTAAAATATCCAAGTATGAAGCAGAAGTGTCGGACTCTGTGGTATCTTTTATCTCAAGCTCACCAGGATATATCGTATCGACGTAGGAATGGAAATTATCATTATTAATTGACAATACGTTGTCGATATATCTAAATGTCGAGTTGAAGGCCACAGCAAGTGTTTTCTTCTTTTCACGCATAAGATTTTGCATAAATTCTGCTTCATATGAATATGAAAATAAGTCTGCTAATAACGGAGCGCAATTTGTACCCATGGGAATTCCAATAGATTGTTGGAATACCTGGTCTCCAAAAACCACATAGATATTGGAAATAAGAAACTCAAGCATCTTCTTGATGTCAACTTCAGAGTACTTATGTGTGCAATCAGAATCTGTTTTAGCAAACTATCACGCAAGCCACTCTATTGATAACATCATGAAACTAAAAAATTATAGACAATTATTTCTTTAAGTCAATTTTATTAGTCTCTTTACATACAACATTTCAAAATCTTCCATGAACTGCCTTTGTTATATATTTGTTGACATCTCATAAACGACAATTCTCATTCAAAATAGTTTGTCGTTGCCCTGTTCTACTCCCACTTCAATTATAGCCTAACAAGATCATATGGACGGCACAAAACAATATTGCGAAACATAAACGTAAAAAGTTTCCAAGGTCCAGGCGTTTGTTAAATTTAAAAAAAAATCATGTAAATAGGGCAGTAAGATGAAAATATGTTGAAATTCAAGTCGGATTGTTAGGAAAAATGAGCTTAATTTTGTCTTTTACTCGTGATAGTTTGTATGTATATTCTATCGTTAAAATCGGGTAAAACTACATAGTCCAGCATGTTTCCTCAAACTGTAAACAATTAGTGAGAGGTACATGTATCATCACCTATCAAACTAATTTTCTAACTAAAATCAAATAAGGAAGAAAAAACATTCCAAAAGGAAAACATGGCCTGGGAAGTTCAAGATCGGAGGGGAGGGGTGTAGAACGGTTGCCGTTTCTTCCTAAATGTATTTTCAATTGGCCTATGATTATCATTATAAGCACAATAATTATATCACAAAAGAATTTCCTTGTCCTTGTGTTGAAGTATGTCGGCGATTGTAAAATTCAGTAAAATTCAGTGTTTGTGTCGCAAAAGTCTACCATGCATGGATTCAGAATCTTTTCTCCAAATCTAACCAGTTTTTCTACCTCTTCAACTGGGGTCTATCTGTGTTTTCTAGGGCCTGTTACAAATAACTTTGTTACAATTTGAATCCTGTAAATAATGACCAATCGCATAAGCATACTCTCAAAATGCACCCTGTGTTCTTATCCACACTTTATCAATTTTCTTCATTTTCATTACAGCTGATGAAGACCCGGAGTCCAAATTAGATCTGCCATACGATGACACAAAAGCATTATATATCTGTAAAAATTATTTATTTATTGTGTGATAATTAAGAGTAAAATGTATAACCAATAACTTTACCCCTGTGAACAATTTCTAAATAGTTTTCCACTCATTGTGAGAATCATCCATCGGAGATAGAAGAGGCCATTATCAGGTGCTGTGAATTTACCGGTGGTAGCCTTATAAGCATTTCCAGAGATTTTTAATACTTGTCCAAAAATATTCGTACATGGAGTACATGGCGGGCTTTATCAGCAAACTGTGGATGCGTACGTCTCAATGGCTCATGAATTAAACATTGCTTCAAATGTAACAGGTTGTCAGAAAAAATTGAACACCCTACAGCAACAAAAACTGAGATGAATATGTATCATCAATCTGATGAGGAAAATAAATATGTTCATGAGAAATATAGAAAGAAATATCGAGCAAGTAATTAAAAGTTAAAGCCCAATAATATGTCCTCTTTATCTGTCGGATTTTATTTCATGAACCTGTATTTTTGACAATATAGACATTCATATAAAGTTTTTGACCATCCACTTTCAAAAATAGTGAGTCTTCAACTGATAATGCGAAAACAGTTGACCACTAGGAGTTGAATTCTTTTTCTGAAAAGCGTTCAACTGATTTGTGAAATATACTAATCTTTGAAACAGTTTATAAACAAACATTTCATTTGTATGAATTATATTCAGAAAAAGAAAAGTATTTAATCTCAAATGCCCATGGGCAAGTAATGACTGCTTGCTGGAAATCCACTTGCCCAGTATAGGTCTCTATTATTCTTTACTTTTTTTAAATATTAAAAGAATTCTGAAAACTAATTGTCATGCATCACGTGTTTTGTTGCTTTTCTTGTTGTGTTGGTAAAAATATGCCATTGCTTTAGACTAATTCTATACATAACCCTTTCTGCACAGAAAATGAAAAAAGCATGTAAAAACTTATATTTATGAGAGTGTGCCAGCTCAATTCATTTATAACATGCATTTAGATTTATATGTATATTTATGTCAATTCAGAAACTCCATTGTTTTGACTTTTCATATTTTCAAGAATACTGCTTGTCTTAGATTTCAAATTTCCCTCCATTTTTTTCAAATAATGCATGCAACGTTCGTGCACTGACTAATGGAGCATTCAACTAGCGGTCAACTGCAAAGGAAATAGAGGAGTATTCAACTAGCGGTCAACTGTAAAGGAAATAGAGGAGTATTCAACTAGCGGTCAACTGCAAAGGAAATAGAGGAGTATTCAACTAGCGTCAACTGCAAAGGAAATAGAGGAGTATTCAACTAGCGGTCAACTGCAAAGAAAATAGAGAGTATTCAACTAGCGGTCAACTGCAAAGAAAATAGAGGAGTATTCAACTAGCTTCAACAGCAAAGAATATATGGGAGCATTCAATAGTGGTCCACTCTATGCAAATGAGTCGAATGCTCCCTCATTTGCATGGCAAAATTCAACTAATGGTCAATTGATGGTCAGTTGACCGTCAACTAGTAGTCAACTGAATACTCCGATTGAATTCTAATAGTATTGTACATATGGGATTGTTTGATTTTTTAAATTGAGGATTACGTATTTTTAGGTAATTAGTGAAAAATCCTTATTCCAGTTGGTACATCCGTGTTATTTAAGTGATTTATTTAAACTAGGGCAGACAAAATGTATATTACACAAAATATTACATACTAAATGTCTTAACATTAAGTATACATTGCTTTTGATGATCATTATTGGTAACAATTAATTTTTCAAAATATTTTACACTAAGAAGGAAATCCACTTAACTCTACATGGATCTATAATAAAGCAAACAAGCTAGATGTAAAACCTAGTTTAAACCTTATACGTACTTTAAACAATTTATAAGTATAAACCTACTGCGCTGATATCACACAAGGAAGAACCCCCAAATTGTTAGAGTTTGTACGAGTGGAAAACAACAATCCCCCACAGGCAAATAGTGGTGTCTAAATATGAATGAAAACTCTCGAAGGGAAGTTAAAAAACACCAACAAATTCATTCAAATTTTAGCCAGTTACAAAAATCCACTAGCAAACCAATCAAATATTTAGAGAGTATGTTATGTTCATTATCAAATACTTACAGTTTAATTGAGCAAATTTAATGTCTATTGCCTGAGCTGTCTCCAATAATCCTGAAGGTACTATGACTTGCTTTTGTTTTCATATGCAAATTCTGCTGATCGTACATTTGCTAATTTTTTTAAGACTCCGTTCAAAGGTATATAATTACTAAGAAATACAAATGTCTTGTATTTCACCAAGATAATTCAATATGCAGATAGTTCTGATAGTTTTTTGGTATCAATCTTCATTTGTAATGTTGTTTGATTATCTAAGCATAGAACCCTATTACACGGTGTACATACATATAAAATATTTGTAGCTCAATTAACGATCCTCTCTGCTGACTTTATAACACAGTGAGGGAGAAGGATTGTTTTAATTTTTATATATTTTAATTGATCTTTTTTGGGGGTGTAAACAAACGGTGGATTAGACTGAATGAAATGTAATTATAGACTTCACTATACAGGATCGTCATCATGTTGCTAAATGTGCATTAATTGAAACTGAATGTCTTGATATATCGAGTGTTAATTCCTTTAATCTCTTGAGGTTTTAAACCACTAGATAATGAAATTAGTTTCTATTGTCATAAAATCGTTCTGTCCGTCGGTATCTTTGTCCAATTTGTAAATACAAATGATAAATTGAATTGATTTTGAAAGTTTTGAAGGTTTATTTCAGCTAACAATATCGTTACAATTTGAATCCTGAAAATGAAGACCAGTTTGCATGAGCATACTGTCCATATGCACAATGTGTTTTTATCCAGACTTTATCGTTCTTCTTCATTTTTATTACAGCTGATGAAGACCCGGATGCCAAGTGATGACTGTTTGTCTTGCCATCCGAATGATTATAGCCCAAAGTTTTGCCGTTGTGAACAATTTCAGTGGGAAATAATTTATTTGTGAGAATCGTCCAATGGAATGTGTAAAGCCCATCCTCAGGTGCTGTGAATTTGCCTGTGGTAGCGTTATAAGCATTTCCAGAGTTTTGTGTTACATACCCAAAAATAACAACAGTGTAGTTACCAAGGTTTTCCTGTGCTTTTGATACACGTGCATGAAAAGCGATCTTTTCTATGAAAAGAAATGACAAATATAATTATTTTACTGCATCACAAAATACAGAAAAAATCCTACTTTTTGCATTTTAGATATGGCTATAAAATGGCTTTAAAATGAATTTTTACATAGTCAACTTTCTTAACTTGTTAAGCAATATACAATATGTACCTTTATCACCTGCTTTAAAGTTTATGTCTCCTGGTTGATATTGATAGGCATGGGCCTGTTCTACGTAGGAACAGATTCTAAAACGAATCAAGCTATTGACAAAGGGTCGACAAAATTTTCTCTCAAACTCTGCACTTATCGCTATTGAGCAGTGAAGGATCTTTCTCGTGTTAGCACCAACTGCGACACGTGCCTCGGTTTATATGGTCGCATCCGAAGGACCGGTCTCCATGTCCCACAGTGGGATTCGAAACCTCGACTTAAAGATAAACTCTTTACTTAGCGACTCAAGAGCAGACGCTCTAACCACTGCGCTACGCGGGTAACATTAATAAGAGTAACAAATATGAGTAAAAAAAAAGCCTTATTTGCCTTACTGAAAAAGAAGAATAACAAGGACAATCATAACATACTATCAGTGACAGTTCTTGCTGATCAAAAAAAGGTTGAAGCAAGTGTGCTTTTTATAAGTGACTTCGGGTTATTGATCTAAATTGCTTTAAATATTTAAAAAAAAAACTTTCAAAAAACAAATCTTATCACTTATTGACCTTCATGATTTGTTTACGGATCAAAATGATTCAGGGCTTTGGTGGTTGTGTACGACGTCGGCAAAGCACGTGACTCACAAAATATTTAACTCAAATTTCCGTAGGAAGACGATAATTTGAAACTGTTAAATACATTATTACATCTAAATTTCTGAATTATCCAAACTCAAGGCAAGTGGTGGGTTATCTATTCATTATGTACATATACATGCATGTCAGTTTCTTAAACAAAAGTATTTTTTATATAAATACCTTTCTCTATTCCTGCACAGTTCCCATTTTGCAATTCATACAGGATGCATAGAGCAAGCAAGCAGAATTGCTTCAAATATTCTCATCCTATTTCAAGACGCAAAAAATGAATTTGAAATATGTTTCCAATGAGTGAGGCTATTTGCAATACCAGATAGCCTCAACTGTTTTCACTACTGCTACAAGAATATCGAAAAATGAAAAAAAAAATAGAAGTGTACCCTTTCTCATACTGTAATATACAATGTTAACATAAAAAGTAGTGAACTATTATTACAACAGATGTATTTTAGAAATGTAAAGAGATTTATACTGTCATCCTTAAAGTATATAAACAACTTAGAATGTGTATAAAAATGTATGTGTAACAAATATTAGAATCTTACCTTAATAAATTATCGAAAAAATTTAATAAATCTGCCTTGACAATTTGATTTCAAAACTAAGAGAGCGCAATATTTTATAACATTTAAATATAAAATATAAGAGAATCGTGATTAAAGAAAGGTAACAGGTTGTCAATAAATAAACACGCAACACCCTACAGCGAAAAAACTGCTATAAACATGTCTCATCAATTTGATGAAGAAAATAAAATGAATTGGTTCCTGAAAAATATAGACAGTTATGTCATACGAATTATGTAAAGCTCAAGATCAATTACCCAGTCCTGTTTTTCAGTCCGATCTAATGACATTGAAAGGTATTGTTAACAATGTAGATATTCATCTGCTTTTTTTCAAATTTTCAACCCACTATTTCTTAAGATTGTTAACCTTGTGTTATGAAACCGTATTGCTTAAAATGTGGAGATGAAAATAATACTTGTTTTAATTTCAGTCGTTCAGGTTAATACACCTAAAATTCAAAAAATGGAGAAAAAAAATTTCAATAAAATATAAAAAAAAAAAAATTATAATACAGTTTTTAAATGACAAATATCTATATTGATCAGCGATATAAATCTCCTCTTTCCGTCAACAGCAGGGCCCCTATATTTGCCGCTCATTTGGTTTTTGTTCAATATAAAAAAGTTTTTATAAGTGAAGACGGAAGTATTATGTCTTACTTCAGTAAAACTCCCAGTATCTACTTAAAAGCAGAGATCAGCTTTACTTTTGGTTGTAACATAATGCATGCAATATATAGTCTTGCAAAAACACCTGAACGATTCAACAAGAGGATCGTTAAAAGAACGAAAAATAAAATAAATATTTAAATTTAAAAAAATACCGGGTATTTGACACAGAAAAATTTTGATGGAGAGAATCTATATAGACTCGCAGCTAGGTTAAGGATTCCCAAAGGTAGATCAGTCTATGCAGAAAATCGGGAACTCGATTATGACGTCATGTTAAAATTGTACAAATGAATATTGGCGAATAAATAATAATTTTCTTTTTCATACATTCTTACTTACTGTTATTTCTCATAATTATTGTAAACATAAACTGTGTAACTTATCTTGTCATTAAAACACTATTTGAATGTAAAATCAAAGCCTTGATCTCGCTACATGCTGACAGATATGACGTCATAGACTATTTTGACATGCAGTTTCTCTGTACTTGAGAAGCAAATCATTGCCACTTGAAAATATGAAAATTAAAACTAAATAAGCGTGATATGACTAAAATTGAGTCATATTTTGCATTACTCTATATTTCACTGTATTATTTAATTGATAACAATTAGGTATCTTATAAAGTCGCAGTCATGCACTTTTATGCATAAAAGTACTACAATAACAGGCACAACCCCTCTAAAATCTCAAAAGTTCAACGATATCCGCTTACCTATAAATTATATTTTATACACATGTCGCTACTGTCCCTACTATTTTGAAAAGTGCTGGGGCAAGTCTCGCTGTTGCCTATTCTATCTGGGTGCACATAGGACTGCGTTCGTGAACAAGCATTTTAATTGCAGCATGACATATATTAAAATAACAAACTGTGGTGAAGCTCCAAAGTCCATTAAACAATACAAAGAGCAAGAGCCACTTTGAACCATATTTGGCCCTGAGAATTTCCGGAAAAATCTAAACTGCTCAGTTTAGGTGGCAAATGCAGTATTTATCACTTGAAATGTTTGTGACCATCTTATTGTTCATGACGTAATTTTCTCTCTAGTCAATTATTACGTCATAAAATGCGTCATTTTCCTCATATCCTGTAAATTTCTTTGAAAATGACTTAAAGTTGAAGTATTTTTTCAATATTTAATATAGAGCACAACCTCTGATCCAAAATATGCAAATACAAAATGAAAGATCTGTTTCTGAAGATCCAAAAACATGTTTTATTTTTTTTTATCCTTGGCAGTGGTCATATTTTAATTCTTTGCTGAAGATCTCAAATACGCATGTTTTCTGCAAATTTAAAGAACATTGCTATTTCTCAAAGCCCGTTTTCCAATATCTGGATTCTCAAAAAGAAATTTTATTACAGGAAATTAAAGCACCAAGTGTCTACTTTATTTTGATGTAAGAAATGAGAAAGAGGGTAAAGTTAATCAGTTAATATAAGTACAGGACCATTTTATGCATAAAGTGAACCTAGCTCTTTAGTATCAGAGCAATCATGGACCTCTGAAACATCACAGGTGGGATCAGGTTGCCATATAGGATTTAGTATCCCCTACCACCGTGTGTTCTTTGTCATTAAAAACATAGCTCCTCAAAATCAAAAGTTATGGATAAGATTAAAGTTTTTGCGGGAAAAAAAGCTAAACAGACAGATAGACAGATAAAGAAAAAGACATACAGACAGACGGACGGACACATGGGCCTCTCACATGCTAAGCAAGAATAATACCCCTAGACTATCGAGACTTTTCAGTAGGTCACATGTTTATATCACGTTGCTCATTGTCAAACTTTCACACAAAACATGATATTGTGTAGTTTCGCTTTCACTATTTGGAATTCGGAATCTAGAAAAAATTGCACTAGTTTTTTTTTTTTTTTTTTTTTTACATAATTAGGTCCCTCATTCCTGTAAATCACCTCAATGGTTGATGACTCAGGATCTTATTTTTTATACACTCTCTAGTCAAGGTATTTCATTAAATGACCAAATTAAATACCAGGGCAGATTCAGAATTTTCCATGGTTAAATATTTTACATATTTCATTTTTAATTTAAACAGGTTAAGATTTTTTTTCTGTCCATATATATTTTATGTTTATTTTTAACAGGTTTAAATATGTCTACTTGTTATCTATAATCCTTTCATATTTAATTTTTGGACATGTTATCATTTTAAATGTTTTCTGTAAAATATTTAAACAGATTCAGATTTTGTTTCTTATATGAATTTTGGTGGTCCCTATAATCTCAATAGTATTTTTAAAAAAAATCTCTTTAAGAAGAATTTAACAAGATATTTTTATGCTTGTAATAGAATAGTAGGTTTTGCAAAATCTTACAATCAACTAAAATTTTTGGTCTTAGTAGTAAGTTCTTTTTTTAAACTGGCCCCAGTTTTTTTTTTATTTACCAAGGTAATATTTTCAATAGTGTTTACACTCTTTGAATTGGTGTTTTTATGCTCATTTCGTTTCCAATAAAAATTGAAATTGTTTTCTATAGTATTGTCACATCTATGTTTAATAACAATGCTTTGACTGTAAAACTAGTGTAAGAATATCTTGACTTGCATTCCTAGTCAAGGACATAAGATGCAGCAATCTTTCCTTGATGACTGTATCTTTCCCAGCTAAATTCTTTTGTATTATTATAGTTTTAAATTTTTGACCTTTTTTTCAAAATATCAAGTTTTTCACTCTTCAACATGTTTTTAACAAGCAGAACCAGTTTGTTCCGTTGGATTACCAGTTTGTTTTTTAACAAAAGTATTATTATTTGCAGATTAAAATCTTAAATATACTGTATTAAACATTCAAATTATTCAATTAATGAAATATAATTTAATGACAAGCTCACAGAAATATTCAAAATGTCATATGTTTAAAAGATTAATGCACATTTCTCTCAATGGCAAAACTGTCTTTTAAAGTTTAAAACCAGAGAATGACGACCAATTATCATAAGCAAATTTTCCATCTCTACCAAATGTCCTTATCCAGACATTATCATTCCTCTTCATTTTTATGATAGCAGATGAAGATGCACTATCATAATTAGAGCTTCCTGTTTTGCCTTCGGCATGACCGAAACCAATTACTTTTCCGTTATGAACAATCTCTGTTTTAAAACACGAACCTACATTGGTTAATATTGTCCATTGAAATGCGTAGAGGCCATCATCAGGTGCTGTGAATTTACCTGTTGTAGGGTTATAGGCGTTTCCAGAGTTCAGAGTCACTGTTCCAAATACTACAATGACATTCACGCCAAGGTTCTCTTGTCTTTTGGTTAAACGTGCGTGAAAAGCAATTTCTAAAAAAAAAATGGCATTATATTTAACTATAGGTACAGAACATAATTATTTAATATTTTCACACACTGTTCGAATGATGTGGACCTTTTAAATCAAGTAATGGACAATCAAACTTGATCAAAGTAAAATTATTACATTGATCAAATTTGATTACCATAGAGTTTTTTAACAAAAAGATTACATTTTTCAAACTTAATTAATGTAAAGTTCTGCATAACTGTACATTGATGAAGTTTGATTGCCCATTTACTTTAAAGTTTTACGTAACAAAAATTAACATACAATCAGATAATCATATTATTACAGTTTACAAAGAGAGTTTTACAAATTTTATACGATAAATTAAAGTCAAGGTTTTTCGATCTCATTGATATCTGCTTTTTCAATAAAAATTCGTAAACTTGCTTCCCTTGTCATTGGTCATTTGCTAAATTATTAACTAAAGTTAAAAAGCATTCAGATTGTTCACAAAAGTACTCTTAATTCGACATAAAAAAGATGCTTAAGTTTCTGATTGACAATATCTATGTGGTTTTGGTGGCCAAGTCTTCCAACAATCTATTGGAATATCCCTGGGTACCAATATTGCGCCCCGTTATTATTAGCAGACCTATTTTTGCATTCATGTACAGCAAAATTTGTGCAAAATCTTGTGCGTTAAAGGATAAAACACTTGCCGTGGCCTTCATCTCGACATTTAGATATATTCACGGCGTATTGTCAATTAACAAGTTTAATTTCCATTCTTCTATCGATACAATATATTTTGGTGAGCCTGAGGTAAAGCATACCAATGAGTCTCACACATCTGTTTTATATTTGGATATTTTACTTGAAAAAGACGTTAATGGTAATCTAACAACCAAGCTATATGATAAACGTGAAGACTTTAATTTTTCTATCGTCAACTTCCCTTACTTGTACAGCAATATACCTTCTTATGGAGTTTATGTAGCTCAGTTGATTCGATACAATCGATTCTATGGTCGATACAATGACCTTGTCAGCAAATACAATTTATCATTAGTCAAATGCTGACTGACGTTTTTCATACTAATTGTTAGCTAATTATTTATACACTGATTTAAAGACGTTATTTCCCGATCACGACAAGGGGCACACAACGTGTGTGACCAGTCGGCAGGGAATTTTTACTCCTCCATGACACCTGATCCCACCTCTGATGATTTGGAGGTTCGTGTTTGTTCTGCTCCTCTTTCGTATTGTTTCATGGACCTTTGATGTTAAACAAGGTTCGTCATTTCCATGTGTTCTATAGTAACTAAATACCTTTTTCCTTTCCTGTACAGTTCTTTTTTTCATATCCAATTCCTTGACAGACTGTGTTGTATCTGTTGTACTTTCTGACGAAGTCTTGTGGGGTTTCTTTTGCATACACTTCAAGCAATATGCTCACAACAAGTAGTATCGCCTTCATCATGTTAGACCTATTTAAAAACGTAAAAAAAAAGAAAGAGTGAAGGGCTTATTTATCTTTCAATTTTAAATTTGCTAACAAATGTTATACAGCAAAATATCTTTCCAGCAAATACTTACATTTTGGACATAAAATAATAATAAATCTTTGTCATGAAGCATAATATGCCTATTGTCTGTGTGGCCTTCTATATATACTAATATCACAGCAATTAAAAGGTAAATCGAGTATCTGTATGTTTTATTTTCCATGTTTACAAATGTGATACCTAGTCATTGCCTTGTACTCCCACACAGGGAAAAAAGTTTTGCAAGCAATTGCCGATATTTCTTTTTATGTTCAAATTTACTTCATCCCTAAATGAAAATCTCCTCATAAGCAGTTTATTATCAAAATATTTCTTGGAATGTAATTAATATTTCTATCGTTTTCAATTTATTTATTTTTTTAAAATCATAAATGAAATACGAAGATAACGAACAGCAATCTTATTTTGTTTACAAGAGATAAAGAGGACGGGAAGAATCCTTGAAAAATATAGATTTGTGAACAAAATTTAACATACAAAGAAAAATTCAAAAAGCTACATTAAAATTAATTAATGTGTTCTTTCTATAATTTGTCACTTACATGTATCACCTCATCCATTTAAAGGTCAAAAATTCAACAATGCATCGCGCATATTAAACTTATGTTGAAAGATATAATGCCATAAGCAAATACTAAGTAAATATTAAACCATATGCGTAATTGTTTGTATACAAAAAAAATTATAAAGTGTATATTTCTGTTAAGACTTTATAACAATACAAGTACTGTAAAGGCATGTTTTACAATACAAATGCACGAAAAATGCAATACCATAAAGAAATAAATGAAACAATATGGGCAAATGTTTATATATAAATAAATTAATTAAATGTATATTTCTGTTACGGATTTACAAAATTACAAGTGCTGTTAACAGATGTTTCATAATAAATAATGAAACCAAAACTCGCACAGCACGCACATAAATAACTGTACAGCACGCACATAAATAACTGTTCGTGAACTGAAGTAATTTATTATATGTTAAATAGATAAAAATGTATGTTCAGTGTATATAGAATATTCATTGGGAAGTTGTTAATTTCTGAAAGCCAGTAAATATGTCACCTGATTTTTTTTTTCATGCTAATGAGAAAAGTTTAATATCTAAACTATGAATCATGTTCACAGAGGGGATATTTAAAAATTGTATTTTGTTACCATGTTCACCATTTTAATCAAATGAATTAGAAACAGCTTGGTTTAAATATAAAATTATTGTTTGTCCTTCTTCTTTAAGGCAAAACAGTTTAACAAAGATATGAATCCTGCTAAACAAAATAAGTGAATGCTTTGATATTTTGTTTTCAAAACGTAAAAGGGCGCAATATTTTACTATAGAAGTAAGACAGAAAATCGTGTTTTACTACTCTATAATTATATCGATTAACCGTACATTACTGATATTAAACACTGCTATGTCGGTAACAGGTTGACCTAAAGAATAAACACGCTACATCCTTCTGCGGCAAAAAGATAGGTTTCCTCAATCTTCTGAATAAAATAAATTTATATGAGAGAACAATTGGAATCATGATATCATTAATCCAGTCCTGTTTTCTTATATACGGTCTTATCCTTTCGTTCGGTATTGTTTACATTGTAGAGAATAATAAAGAACTTGTTTTCAAATTTCAAATCAGGCCCCGGGGCCATAAAACTGAGACGAGCTCATTTTTGATCTAAGTCTCACTTTTCCACTATTAATCTCTTTTTAAAAAGGTGACAATTAGATCAAAAGTGAGCTCGTATCAGTTTTATGGCCCCGGAGCCAGCACTTTCTCAAAAAAATTCCAGTCGAAAATCGAAGTAGGTATCTTCTTTGTAAAAAAAAATCATATGACCAATATATAAAGTATGCAGAAATACGAGTGTTGATCCAAAAGTAATGTCACAACTTTAATAAAATTGCTATAAATCGACGTAAAGCAACACAATTATACATGATGGAAGCTTTATTTATATCAAATCAGACCTGAAAAATTCAAAGTAATATGATGTATACTTTCTAAAATATCGGATTTTAAACAATGTGCATTTATGGTAGTCGCTGCACCTAACTATAATGTCATATGACGGATACGCACCGTCATATTTTTAAGCATTTCCCCTTCGTTTCATTAAAAAAATATTTGTGATTCACAAACACTTTCACCAGTTTTACTTTTTAAAGAGTTCTTGGTACATATGTACCATTATACACTCACTCGTTTCATAATTAAGCTCTCTGTCAAAATATTTTGAACAGTAGAAAAGGCAAACTTAGAAATTCACATATGCATGTCACTCTATACGTCTGCCTTTTTTGACATCAGGCACCATTGAACGTTTCCGTCCGATCACATAGATCGTTCGGTCTTTTTTTTCCTCTGCTTATCATTCAGTGACCAATCACTCGCCCAAAATTGCTAAAACCATCTATTAAGATGTCTCTTATTTAGATTCTTTATTCTGCAAGTCTGATTAATTAACGGTATTGTCGCTTGTGATGATTCCCATATTTTGAAGCAACAAATGCAATACAACTCGTCGAGCCATTTTTACCCATTTCGACAATCCCTATGTTCAATTCAACAGAGTAAAACAACAATGTTTATGATCAAAAATACCAATGCCGTCATTTAATTTTCAATGAAAGACTCGAAATTACAAGAATTGTGTGTTTTAAAAAATGGGAGATTAAGTGCTTTTTAGAATCTTTTTAATGTGTTTATCTTTTTCATTCTAAAAAAAATACACTTTAAAACGTGACGTTCCGTTGTGACGCGGCGACACCCCCTATGCTCTTTGTTTTAAACATCTATAAAATAAATACAAACAAACATTATTAAATTAAAATTTCAATGTTAATTAGACTTATATCTATGCATCTTTTGGTATATTGTTTTTGATAAAATGACGCCAAATATAAAAGATATGGACACTGTGACATTACTTCTGGATCAACCCTCGTACATTGCCATTTTAATCAATTTTACATGCAGGCGAAAAATATTTTAACTGAATCACAAAGAACTTGAAATATTGCTAAGAAGATAAAAGAAATTTCTACTACATATATAGAATATTTACTATTTAATTATCAATAATTATCAATAAGTATTTCATTCACATCAAAACAATACCATTCCCAAAAATAAATTATTCCAGGCTTCTTGACATCATTGACAGAGGCTCTTTCAATTAAAATCATCTCGAAAATTTACTTACATTGTCATTGATCATTTGCAACATCATTTCGTAGAGAAAAAAATCAGCTTGTACAAAAAAAAATACATGTAAATATATATGTAAAAATCGTGAAATCCTCAGTATAGAAAATACGTTAATGATATTTATTTCTCTACAAATTTTTTTGCGTTTGCATGTACATGTCCGTATTTGCTCTGCTCCCATTTTGTATTGTTTTATGGACTTTTGATATTGAATAATGTTCGTTATCTCTATGTGTTTCATGATAAAAACCACAATGAGGTTGTTTACGGTCAACTGGAGATGTTTATTCCTCCACAGCATTTGATCCACATCTGAAGTTTTTAAAATTCAGTGTTTCCTCCGCTTACTCTGTAGATAACAAAAAAAAATTGGTAGCAACTGTCCATTCACCATGCGCTCAGCACTTTAAAATGAAAGTTGCATATCTTTCAGATGAGACCCTAAAAACCGAGGACCAGTGTCACGATAGAAGCTGGCACGATAAAGAACACTCACTGCTGAGTTTGCTCAATGGCCCTGAGTGCCTAGTAAAGCTCTAAATTGAAGGTCTTTACCAGTATATGTTGATGTCTTAATATGAGTGAAAAAGTATCGAAATGGACGTAAATCAACATATCAATAAATCATTTATCATTAAGTATATTAATAACATTTTATTATTAACACTTTTCATTTTCTAACGAGTTCAACATGAAAATTTTTGAACCCGCAATGAAAGACACAACATAGTCTAACATGATTCATTTTGTGACGGTATCAATGGCAATCGTACAACATTGCTTTATGATAAACTTCAGGACTTTTCTATCGTCAACAGGGTTACATTTTATTTATGAGATAAAACTATTTTTAACCATTTTTTTTATAAATAAAAACACATTGTTGTTAGTATACATTTATTTTTTGTTCATCAACTTTTGCTCATTAAAAATGTGGAGTCCATTTTGATGAACATCCAGGATTAGTAATTATGTTTTAACACAGTAAATTAGACACCGTTTCAAAAGTATCAAAGTGAACAACTTTTAGATGGGTTTTCTCTTTAGAAAACTCTTGTTACTGAATGTAAGCCATTTTTCTTGCATTTATCTTCCAATTTTTTATAATAAATCAAGAACCATGCATTTTACACCAATTTTATTTTATTATCTTTATTTCAGACATTTTTATTTGTTACAATTTAAATCCTGTAAATGATGACCAATCTACAGAAGCATATTTTCCATTTGCACCATTTGTTCTTATCCAGACTTCATCTTTCTTCTTCATTTTTATAACAGCTGATGAAGATCCGGAAGCCCAGTGAGAACTGCCTGACGTGCCGTCCACATGGTTATAACCAATAATGTTACCGTTGAGGACAATTTGAGTGTGAAAGTATTTTCCACCTGCTGTGAGAATCGTCCATTGGAAGAAGTAGAGGCCATCCTCGGGTGCTGTGAATTTACCTGTGTTAGCATTATAAACATTTCCAGAGTTTTGTGTTACTCTCCCAAAAACAACAACAGCGTTTGTTCCAAGGTTTTCCTGTGTTTTTGATAAACGTGCATGAAAGGCGATGTTTCCTAATAGAAGAAGTTTTTTTAAAAAATATTAAAAGGAACTTTAAACAGACAAAGGTATCCTTAATTTTCCTGATCTTCCGAATGTATTTATAAAAATAAATACTATAATAATAACATTGCAAATAACTAATTTGTAATAAACTTTAACATTTCAGCAGGGTCTAGGTCAACAAATAAGTAAATCTGGATATTTATAGTCAAATTCTTTCGCATACTGCGTACGCACAGTACCCACAGTATTTGCCTTCCTTAAAAGATTACTAAAAACACCAAAATCCAATACAATTACATGTAGTAACAAATGTTTGTAGCAAGAGCGGTCTCTATGAACTGTAGATTCGCATTGTTTTATGAAGTTCCCTATATATACAATGCAAATATATATTTTAAAATAATTTCGTAAAAGCAGATTAACTCGTTATGTGTTGATGGCCAGTTTTTAGTATGCTAATACACGAAGATTTTGTGGTTACATACGACATCAGCAATGTTAATCTCTCACAAACTCAAATCGTCATGCACAGAGAAAATCCGAAACAATGATATCTTTTATTGCATTTAAACTTCGCAATCACTAGGGCAAGTTGTGTGTTTTTATATACATGTATAACATATATAAGTGTCTATTTAAATTATGTTTAATATGGAAAAAAATTAATAAGTGTTAAGAAATACCTTTCTCTTTTCCTGAACAGTTTCTAGTTTGATATCCCATTCCTTTACAGTCTGTGTTGTACTTGTTGTATTTATCAATGAAGTCTTGTGTAACTTCTTTTGCCTGCACTTCATAGATTATGCAGACAACAAGGAGACATACTCTCAGGATAATCATCCTATTTAAAGACATTGTCGCATATAATATTTAAGAATACTTAAGAATAATATTAAGAATAGATGAGACTATCTGCTATCTGGTTGAGGAATTTCTGATTGCTGGCACATTCAGCCTTATACATGTATATATATACTTGCCCTCTCTGTATATCATTCACAAAGTACTTAAAAGTAATTTGAGCACGCACAGTGATTTCTTTTTTAAATACAATATATGTATATAAAAGTAATATCAGCAATTTCTCATATTAAAAATAAATTAGGAGGTGTGTGAAGAGAGTTTTGTTCCATCTCTACTTTTTCAATACAGATTCATTTTAGAATTGAACATGCAATTCATGCTCAAATCCAAAATATTTATGGAAAGTTGAATTTGCAATGATTACTTTTCATATTTTTTTTCAATTTAATCTTAATTTTTAAAGATATAATTCATTCTGACAGAGGAGTTACATTTAAATTGTTTTAACAAAATTAAGTTTATGAACAACTTCGTTCAGTGGCGGTGCCAAAAATTCTTATTCGTTGCTTGCATTGTCAATTATTAGTAACTGGATGTAAAAGTAAATATAAATCAATCAACAATCATCAAGGCTTTAAAGCCTTGATCCCATGTCACGACGGGCTTTGTCACAATAAAAATGAAGCGCTGCTCTCTAACCCTAAGTGCCGAGTAAAGATAGGAAGGGGGTGCTGACTTTTCCATGGCACCTAATCCCATGTATGATGTTTCGGAGGTCCGTGTTTGCTCTGCTCCTATTTTGTATTGTTTAATGGGCTTTTGAGCTTGAATTCTGTTCGTTATCTCCATATATTTCATCTTAAGCCCTTCGCCACTATATGTCATATAATGATTCAGTCTTTACTCAGAATAGATATTCATTGTCGACGCTCTATGAATTAGTGATATTCATTTTCAAATGTCAAATTAATATACGTTTTCAGAAGCGGGATCGGGTGCCTATCAAGAGTAAGCAGTTGACCCTTGATCACAGCCAAGGTGAACGATATGCATTTATCAATATAGATATATTATTATTAAGTAGAAGAGAGTTACAGTTTATTGATAAAATAAAAAGTTGTTCAAAATTTTCAATAAATAAAATAATATAATGTTTTTCGTACATTTATAATGAGTTTAACACGTATCATTTATTTTGAAAATCTTTGCTTATTGAAGGTGTACAGGTCTATTTGGATAAAAATCTAGAATTAATGAATCTTCACGATCACATCTAATTAAACAAAGGTATAAAAATATATATGAAAGTAATTAAACAAAGGTTTTCTCTTTCAGAATAACTTCTTGTTATCTAATGTTATCTAAGCCTGTTACATTTATCTTCCATTTATTTATAATATATCCCGTACATGAATGTACATGAAACACATTATTGTTTTAGAATACCTTTATTTCAAACATTTTTTTCTATTACAATCCAAATCCTGAAAATGAAGAATATTCTTGATAAGCACATTTCCCTTCACCAAAGGTTGTTATCCAGACCTTATCATTCTTCTTCATTTTTATAAAGGCTGATGAAGTTCCGGATTCCCAGTTAGAACTGCCTGACACGCCGTCAACATGATTATAACCAATACTGTTATCACTGAGAACAATCCTTGTTTTAAAATATTTACCGCTCATTGTAAGAATTGTCCAAGTGAATGAATAGATACCATCATCAGGTGCTGTGAATATACCTGTGGTAGCGTCATAAGCATTTCCAGAGTTAAGAGTTATTGTTCCAAATACAACAATGGTATTCTTTCCAAGATTCACCATGGTTTTTGATAAGCGTGAGTGAAAAGCAATAATTCCTGTTCAAAAAAAGCAAAAATAATATACATATATAGTAGGGATGGCTATTTGTACCGATTAATCGGTCAGAACGCTAAGAAGCGGTTGGAAAATCCACAATCGGTAACTCTGATAAAATTTAAAAAAAAAAAAAAAAAGGTAAATTTGAATGCAATTTTCTTAAACCTCATTTTAAGAAAGGAAACAACGGCATAAAAGTTGATAATTAAAAGTTTTATTTTACACATCTTATTTATTAGGCTGATTTGTGGGTAATTATGGCTCTTTAATTTAAATTGCAGAGTAATTGGTCAGTTTTAGAAGTATTAATTATTTAAAACATTGTTTGTGACCCAGACTGTCCTGTAATTCTTGAGTGATTGTAATAATTCACTGTTGAGCATGTTTATGTTTTGCTGTTATCTATTTAATTTTTTTTTCTCAGAATAGCACTGAAATAAAGTGAAAATTTAGACATAGATTTGATTATGATGACAATGCAGAATGAACTTGTGTGATATTTCCCTTGTCTATTGGAATTAAATATGTGTACATACGTATATATAGTTTCCTTATTTAGATAAAAAAAAAATTCTAACTTCTTACGTCTCTTTCAGTCTTTTTGTATATGTAAATAATACTACTTTAAAAGTTTTTAAAATGTATATTTTGAAAGGATTAATCAGTTCATCGCTTATCAATTCTGTAATCGATTGATTTGCCATCCCTGAAATATATTTTTTACGAATAGAGTAGTACAATTTTTTGAGGAATTTGAAACAAGGTGAAGTTTAACTAATAACATGTACCTTTCTCTCTTCCTTTACAGTTTGTTGCCTTATATCCCATTTCTTCTACAAACTTGATTGTACTTGTTGTATTTATCGATGAACTCTTCCGATATTTCCTTTGCTTGAACCTCCATTAATTTCCATACAACGAGTAGTGTTGTCTTCAACATAATAAAGCTATTCAAAGACATTAGAGTAATAAAAATCCTTTTTTAAATAACAAAATACATAGATAATATTTATATGATGAATTATAATTTTACATTAAAATACACAAATACTCACAAATTTGACATTAAATGACAATTATATTTCTTGATGTAGAATATTGACATTTTTCAAACAATGTTTCTCTATATATACCATTAAATTAGTAATTAAATAGCAATTTGAAGATATTGCCGTATTAATTGTCAATTTCAACATTTATATATAAAGATGATGTTTTCCCATATTTTTTTTTTTTTTTTTTTTTTTTTTTTTTTGCATGTCTTACTCATTAAGTAAGTTATATTCAGTATTTTAAATCTTTTTTTTTCTTTACAAAATCATAATAAAGATTTTTAAAAGAGTATCAGTGAACGAATTTTTCCTATCATAATATAAGCTGATAAAGGTAAACGTTTTTAATGTTTTTGTTCTTAACACTGAATTGTTGTAAAGCTTATTTACCAATGATCAGTGCATAGACATTGTCTAATCAAAAAGTTAAATATTTAATACATTTAGAATATAAAAGAATTAAGCAAAGTTATTGTGATTGTGAAATTGATTTATTGCACGTTTCTGATACAGCAATATAATATTATAAGCTCTGGTAACATGTGTCATCATTTAATACACACACAAACGCTTTGAAATGCAACAAAAACATAAATACTGAGGATTTCACGGTTTTTACATATATATTTAAATGTTGATATAATGCGTATTAAATACCAAAATTAATATTTACATCAAGAAAATAAATAAATATGAATAATTTCATCCACATTTTTAACATTATAATCAAATTAAATCTAGTATCTTTATGCCAATATTTTATGCAAAAAAATCTATTTTTCACTTTTAATAAGTACCAAATCTGGCAGCTATGAGTTGCAGAAAGCAAATGAATTGTAGAATGTCTTGGTACTTTGAAACCTTTTAAATAATGTTCTCTTACTCGGATATACATGTATTTGTAAAATATTACAAGTTTGTCTTGTGTGTACTTTTTTTTATTTCAAACAATTTAACTAAAAAGCTTCATATTTCAATTTTGGAGGTTAAGCAGATCTATGTATATAGTTATTCTTTAGTATTCAAATCCAAAAACTTTACAACCTAACAGCAGAGTTAATCAGATATCGATGTCTTAAATTATTTATCAATAGTAGGATCAGATGCTATGAAGGAGTAAGTCCCCTCTCCCAACAGGTCATTTATATTCATCAATACTGTAAACCAACTATTATTCGCGTCATCTTTTATTCGCGATTCGTCAGTCTAAAATCAGTACGCGACGATTAATTTGCGCGACGGAGGAAACATTCTTTACAAATCCTTAGTAAAATGAATGGTTCACGGCGATTAATATTCGCGAGTAAAAGGAGGTCGCGGAACTCGCGGATATTTCTCGCACGCGAATAAAAATTGGTTTACAGTATATATCGAGATAAACCTGATTGTTTGGTCATATCATGCGCCGTTCGACCATATCCTCAGCACATCCAGCTATATACATGTATAAAACACTGCGACATTTAAGTCCGGACACGACAAAGTCCGGACTTTTAGGTACCCTTTCGAAAAGACCTACATTAGATTTTTTTCTATATTTTGGTGGGATTTTTTATTCTGACCTCATCATGTCAATCTCAACTTCCACATTGTAGTAGTTTTCTCATAAACCTCTGTCAAAACCTAAAATCCCATGGGAGAATGGCGGGATTTTTCATCCCACCAAAAATCCCACCAAAATCCCATGGGAGAAACAGTACTGTGGGATAATTTCTCCCACATGGGAAAAAAAATCCCACGGTTGTAGCAAAAATGGGATTATTTTTCCCACAGGACAAAATATCCCACTAATTGATGTCAATATAGGATTTATCCCATATTTTTGGTATGTGATGGGAGAAATTATCCCACCAACCTATTAAATATATAACAAATCTGAAATAACCACAATAAGTAACCTTAAGCACCGTTAAGAGTGGTGTTTTATTTCTAGTGCCGAAGAATGTAACATGTAGTATACATGTAGTATTCTCAAAATATTTTTTTTTTCATTATCATTTCTTGTTATTTACCCCCAATAAGGCATATTGTCTTGCTACTGATGATTTGTCTGTCCACCATCAGTTGCCATTCATTTTCTTTGCAGTGGTTGTACACATTGAAATGATATTTGTTATACATGTATCTATCATATGAATATCTAGGTCTACGCAGGTTATCTATGTTACAATATATTTCTTTAACTTCTCTGAATGATTATGATTATAATGACAGCTGCTAACATAATTAATTAACATGATTAATGAATCCAAGATATGAACTTCATAATTCTGACAGTACTTTTTACATGTCTTTCAATTAAAAATGTGTCAAATTCACAGATTTGTACTTCTGTTATTGTGTTTGATACAGTCATATTTCATTATTTGTTCACATGTAACATGTAACATGTTCCTTCCTAACACTTCTTTCTGATAATAAAATGTATTTCTTTTTATTTACACCTGTTTAGTGTCTGTTGAAAGGTGAATTTACCCAAGGCTCATATACAGCTATACTATCTGTACCTGTTGATATAACTTTGACCATTTACTGATTTATATACTCACTTGCTAGTTGCTTCACTTTGTGTTGAGATGATAATGAACTAATTCAAGCATGTTAAACCAATATCTCAAAGAAATGAATATGAATGAGACTAAATTGATTTAAATGTACGTGAATTAATCCTTAAAATTTAGTCTTTAAATCAATTATTGACTAAAATCTGATCAAATCACCAAATTCTTCTTTCCGAGTTCTTGCATCTCTGTTGCGACAATTCATCAAATGATGTATTATTTTACTACGATTGCCAAGCGCAGTTGAGATCTCGGATGATTTACAGTCAACTCGTACACAAACCAAGTCGTACTTAAGGTTTAAAAAAAATTGAGGAGTCAACTCCTCTACAAAGGTTTTTCTTTATGCCTCTGATTTTTCCTATACCATTATGCGCAGATTGTCTTTGTTTTCCCGGTGTAATTAAATCTGAGGCATCAACTCCTACATATTTTAATATTGTAAAGGTAATATATTATATATTTTAGACAACTAAATTTGATTAATAAACATCACTGCAACAAGATATACATGTATGTAAAATTTTACATTTTAACATTAGTCTTCTTTTTGTAAGTGCAAGTAATATATGTGGATATAAATGTAACTTGATATAATGCAGATAAGAAAGTTATCTTAAATATTTCAACAACATTAACAACAACAAAAATAATATTCCAAATTGGCTTAATATGATTGAGAAAAAAAAAGAAGAAAAAGAAATGGTCATTTAAAGGCAGAGAATTTTTACCGGGTGGTATTTTTATTCCAGGTGAGGGAGGGGCTAATTTTGTACAGGTGTGATTGCCTTGGAGCTAGCAGTCTACCTGCATGAATGGATACACAGTGAAATACCCTAAGGTGTCATTAACTAATTATACCTGTGATAGGGATTTTAAAACAACTTTGAATAAGTAGTAGAAAGGCTTCTCAAGTACCAAGGTATTGAATTATATATTTTTTAATGTTTAATTTAACACCCCTATCCTTGAAAAAAAATTATTATATCATATACTATAAACTGCCTTTATGAGAACTCACCATTATGACTCTTCGAGCATAACATAATTAAGGATTCTCCCCATGAAAATTTCAGTCCTTTAATATTTACAAATTATAATTTCAGATTTCGAAAGTTCATGCTTTTATAAGAAAAAAAAATCCCATACTTGCCAAATTTCATTCAAAAATGAAAAAGTTATGACCATTTAAGAGAACTGAACACACCGGTACGACTGACTGCATATAGCTTTGTTATGGATTCTCCCTATGTAAATTTCAGATCTTTTACAATTTATCATGTAAGATTTACATAGTTTATGCCATTGCAAGAAATATAAAACCAATTATACTTGCCAAATTTCAGTGAAA